AGTAACAAGGCCATAGGTCCTTTGATTTATTCAGTCCTCCATTCATTATACAAAATATTCTTAACCTGCCCTTCTCCCAAATTACTAGGGTACAGCAGATCAGTCTCAGCCTGGCATCATACTTCTGAGTCAAACCAGTTTTAACTTGACAGTAAAAGCAATGCAAAGTAGGTTACCTTGCAAATTTCCGAAGACTGGACTATCCAGAAAATGTGTGGAACTCCTGCAAGTTAAGCTTCTTCTGATAAGCTTAAAGAAGCCTATGCTTTGCAAGGACTGGATGAGTGATTGATTCAGAATCTTTGATCCCTTGTTATTTAGGGCTTAATAGCTATGCACCATCACCTTGCTTGAATGTTGTCCCACAGAAAAGAAATAAAAAGCTAAACATAAAAAGCTAAATTATCCAAATGAATTCTAGCCTAGCATTCTTATTGACATATTACATTTCTATATGGGATGTTGTGATGTTATAATTAATATAATTTTGCATTGAGCCAATGCCTAAAGTTTGGAATGGCTGTCCTGATTCTGGATTATCCCTTCAGAGAAAATTGGGCTATATATCAGCAGCTCTTAATCCAGGCTACAGCCATTTCCTCATATATGATATTTTCTTAACATCACCTTCAGCTATTGGTGAAGAGAAATTAAACTTAACCTCACTTTGATATTTTGGTTCAACAGAGATAGAATGATTCAAGAAGGTGCTAAAAATCTCTACTGGGAAAATGGCTCTTATATAACTTTTTCCTTGATTGTGATTTAATCTCCTGAGAACTATCAGCCTTTATAATCTAAACATTAGGATCCACACTGAAACTAAAGTCTTAGTAAGATTTTAAGCTATCAATTTGAAAAATTGCCATTTGCCTTGAACTCCATGTCCTATATTTTACAGTTGAAATTCTTTGAAAGAACAGTTTTATTTATCAAATTATTTGACCACCTATCACAAGGCAACTTTGGGCGGTGTAAAATAAATCCAATTTTTAAAACAGAATATAAAAACCAGTTAATACAATTAAATAATTTGCTCAAGAAAAACAAAATTGCGAGAGGGTTCATTAAAATTAAGCTTGGTGACCATTCAAAGTTATGGCAACTGCCCCCCCAAAAGTACTTATGACTCAGTTCCAAAGTTACAACGGGCCCCCTGCACATGACCACATTTTGGGTGCTCCGCAACCAACCTACATTATGGCTGTTTATAGTGCCCCACATTCACATGACTGCAATTTACAATGTTTTTGTTAAAAACTGGTGTTTTCTTCTGGTTTTTGACAAAAACACTCCTGAGCAAACAATGGGTTCGGTTAACAACCATGGAATTCACTTAATGACCACTGCAAAAAAATTTGGGTTCAACCACATCCATCATAACTTGGGTCTGCTTTACAACTGTCACAACTTACAACTGCAATGGGCAGGCTCCATTCTGGTCACAAGGCAAGGATTACCTATACCTGGTGCACCAATATGCAGACTCTCTGCTGCCAGTTCTGATGGAAAAAAAAAAACCCACATTTTTGAGGGTAACCTCACCTCAGGTGGCATGATGTTCCAGAGGCTGGCACAGAGCAGAAAAAGCTCATCTCCTGCTGCCAGATAGAACTCCTTAGCAAATGGGATCTGCAACATGCCTACACTACAGCTTAGACAACTATCATGTAAAAGGTACCTCAGCCCACAGAAGGATTCTGCTACCTAATAGTAAAGTAAAGTTAGTGTTCATAGCTTGTGTTTCTTGTCTTCAAGCCTACATTAATCCTGCAAGTTGGAGAGCTCTTCCTCTCCTTTACTTTTACTTTCCCAAAATTTAGGGAAAGTTCCTTCTGAGATCTTTCCCACACCACTTTTTTTCCCCCCCTGCGGGCTGTGATACCTTTTGCATGTTCGTTGTTTAGGCTGTGGCTTTTCCTCCTGTCTCCCATTCCACAGACCTTTATAACCAGTCATTTATCAGAGCTGCTGTTTTCCTTGCTATACTCAGAATTCTGCCTTTGTCTTTTACAATAATAAAGCTTCTGTTTAATCTGAAGCTGAGGGATTCTCCTGAATTCATAGGCTATATCCCATATCTGAGAGAAGATGTATATTCTGACCAGCATTTAGACTAAGAATTTGTAGTATTAATGCTGGATGGCTACTCTCAACAGAAGCTTTGGAAATGCCCTTCTGTTGTTCTTACTGTGAGCTGAATCTTCTTCATAGTAGCAGACAAGTGTGTGAATTCAGACACCCAATTTTTTCTATTTTTTTTTTCTGTATTCCAAAATGACTCTAGGCAATTTATTGTAAAACAAACAAATAAATAAAAACACCAAGTAAAACAGTTTCTCTAATAATTGTGTGGAAGTATAAAAAAAATGAGATCATGTTGAAAACTATCTAATAACACCCATCAAGTAAAGGTGATTTCATGGTCCAGTCACAGGGAACTATGGAAGGTGCTGAAATGACAATTGAAGAAAATACTAGAGTGGGTGGGTGACACATATGTGTGGAGGTAACGCCACAAAGAGCAGGAATTAGGCAAGCTTTTTCTCTGTGTGCCTGCATATGGAGTTGCCAGAATGGAGAATGAGGGAAAAGAAAGCTGTGTGGGTGCCTTTGCATGCAAAATTCTTCTGAAACGGAGGAGATGATTAGGTAGTCTGAGATCAATGGAGCAGAAAAAACTGTATCCTTTAGCATGAGGGATGAGCCAGAGTCACTGTCTGGACAGGCTGTAGTTTACAGGAATGTGAAATGGGATAGGCGCTTCCAGCAACTGGGCATCTTTGACAGCTTGGTTTAGTAACTAGCTAGGCTCACACAGCTGTACAGGCTGTTATTGATAATAATGTAGTTAATAATGTCAGGTTCTGGAAGTACTTATGGTCTTCTTGCAAGTTCCTTTGATGTGTTTTTGCTGAGATCAAGAGAGTTTTTGCGCAGCCTAAACTGTTTCATTCATGTCTGCTAGAAAGATGTCTACACTGGTGAATCTGGGAAAGCACAAGGCACACTAGGATTCTGCATACCCCAATCTCCTAGTTTTTCCTTGTTGGAGGCCAATTCAGCTACACAGGGCACAACAGACATTAGATGTTATCAAATCAGTCAGAAGGCCTTCTGGAAACAATTTTCATCCTTTTCCTGAAAGACAGCCCTGTGGGGCATTCTAGACCTCTGAGGAAACAATTCCTTATGAATGGAGTCATAAGCAAAATCTGCCTCTAGGCCTGTCTTTCAGATGCGCCTCTTGAAGGGCAGGAATCCAGCACATTTTCCTCCTAGGTTGGCAACATGGGGTAGTTAGATTCAGTTTAGAAGAGCCCTCTAGGAAAGTTTGCAAAAGGCTGGGAAGAGCCAAGAAATAGCAGGCAACACCTGGGAACAAGCATCTTCAAATCATCTGAAGAGACTCCATCTTAACTAATTCATTAATTTAATTAACAAATAACTTCAGGGTAGGAAATTGTTCTTACACTTTCCAAGATTCTCATTTTATTTCAGACTAGCATTAAAAAGACCTTCCAAAAATCTCTGTAGTTCCTGCTTCTTCAGTCTTACCCAGTTGCATGGGGTATGGCTATAGAGATACCAAGAAGTCAAACCATATATGGCTTTATAGGCTAAAACCAGCACTTTGAATTGTATTTGGGGACCTACTGGCAGTAGTAGCTGCAACATCAGCATTATTTGGGTAGAATAGTTCTCCCCCCCACCACCACCTATGCTGCCTCAAATAGGGATACTGCTACATTCTATGTGTGTAGTTTCTAGGTAGACTTCAAAGGCAGCCCTATATAAAGTGTACTGCAGTTATCCAGTAAGAGATGACAGTGAAGGCCTGAGTTGCTATCGTTGGTCTATTGCTGACTGCATTAGATCACCTTTCTTTGCCATACAGGCTCAAGCTTGCCCTAATTCTCTACCCCACCTTCACTCCATTAAACTGCATTGAGCTTCCTTTACTTCAAGCTGTTCAGCTGATTATGAGGTGACACCCACCGCTTGGATTCCCTCTAATCCAAGGATTTTGGGGTCACTTGGGGAAGCCTAATTAAGTGACACTGGAAACTTTAATCTCCCATCTATGGAAAAAGGACAGAATTCTGGAAGACTGAGATGGCCAGAATCAGACAGCTAGGAAGGCAGCAACAGCAGGGCCATTGCAGGGACCAGAGCCCACAGGTACTCTGGCTTTAGTTTATTTTGTTTCATTGATGTACTATTTTGTTTCATTGATGTACTATACAAAAAGAAAGAAAAACTACAACATACAAGGCAATATATATGTTTAACAAACCAGGAAGGAAAATGAAGAAATTTAATAATATGAGCATCAGGCTAGAAAAGTTAGTTCATCCTTGCACCTTTGTGTGATAAGATTGGGGGAAGAATTTTTTGTGGTGCTTGCAGGATGCACATTTATGAGCTAGCCAAAGGAAGAGGGAGATCCATTTGTTTGGGCAGTTGCTCACTCTGAGAGGGAAAGTTCTTGGTGACTTGTTCATATGCCATCTTGCACATTGAAGTGCTGGATGTCTCAGTGCAATGAAGGTGCTTTTCTGATTGGTAAAATAAATTAACTTGTGTGTTCAGAAGTGGCATATCAGGATGTTTTTGAAGGCAGAGACATTCAGAGAAAAATCTAAATAACTGTTCTTGGAAGAATTTGAGACCAACTTGGGGAAAAAATGTTTAAGAGCTTTTATTGTGATTATCTTTTATATCTTCTAACAGTGAAGGTGTAGCTAATCTCATGCTGCTGGAAATAGTGGGGAGGGCTCACTTTCTCTCCCTTGGTAGTTTTTAGAAATGCTTGAGCTGGGGCAAGAAATTAATGGATGACATTACTCCTGCTCCAGGATATTTTCATAAGAATCAGTATAAAATATATAAATGGGAATTATCAACACAAATGTGTATACTCAGTACAAAGTATTGTACTGTGTTACTTACGGGATGCTTCATTTATTTCTCCATTATTCTGCTGAATTCAGGGATCTCTTCATAACATTCTTCAGAAAACAAAGAACATAAGAATTAATTCTGGCACAGATCAATGGTATCCTTTATAGGTTGAGAAAGTTGGAATTGGGTATGTCTAGTTTAATGAAGAGAAGGACGAGGGGTGATATGATAGCAGTATTCCAATATCTCAGGGGCTGCCACAAAGTAGAGGGAGTCAAGCTATTCTCCAAAGCGCCTGAAGGCAGGACAAGAAACTAATCAAGGAGAGAAGCAACCTAGACCTAAGGAGAAACTTCCTGACAACTAGAACAAATAACCAGTGGAACAACCTGCCTCCAGAAGCGGTGAATGCTCCAACACTGGAAGTTTTTAAGAAGAGACTGGACAGCCATTTGTCTGAAATGGTATAGGATTTCTTGCCTGAGCAGGGGGTTGGACTAGATGACCTCCAAGATCCTTTCCAACTTTTTATATTATTGTTATTATTATTATTATTGTTGTTGTTGTTGTTGTTGTTGTTGCTGTTGTTGTTGTTGTTGTTCCTCCCTCTGGTATATCTCTATGAATGTTCAAACCTGTTCTATTTTTCCAAGCAAAGTCTTCAGCTCTTTATTCTATCTGTCTTCTTCTCTGAGCTACATGAATATTCATAAAAGAAGGAATGTAAATTGTTCAGATCTGGGCAGAATTAATGTTTAAAGTTAAGTATCAAAAGCTAAATATTTTAAAAATAAACACTAGGGTTTTCACTGTTTTAGAGACAATGTTCTTCCTGGATGGATGGAGTTGTAGTTGAACAACTGTGGAGAAATGATATACTGTTTTTGACGATCAAATATGAATCTTTTTTTTCCTTCAAAAGGCCAATCTTTTTGGTAATTATTTTTTTTTCAATATCTGCAAGGTTATTTGATGATGTCTGTTAGATTTGGGAACAATTTGCTGGATATGAGTGTGAATGGAAAGAATATCCTTCACTGTAATATGTTTAAGATTTTTTTTAGCATTGAGCTAAATGCTGAAGCTACGGAGAAGAAGGGAACCTGTGGATAACTATGCCCAAAGTTCAAATGATTGGCTCCCTGATGAATTAGGGTCAACACAGATCATTGTGTACCCTTATTAAATGTATAGTTCCCATAACAGCATTCCTGAGTCTGTTTTTATTTTATTACAGAGCTGACGAAACATTAATTATAATATATTTAAAAAGTTAAACATAAGAATAAAATGATCATATATATATATATATATATATATATATATATATATATATATATATGTAGGTCTTTGGTTGTTCGGGTTTTCTCCCGCGTAAAATTGGAAGTGTCTTGGCGACGTTTTGACGAAGTCCCATTCGTCATCTTCAGGCTGGTGTTTTCAGCTTCGTGCTTCGAAGCACGAAGCTGAAAACACCAGCCTGAAGATGACGAATGGGACTTCGTCAAAACGTCGCCAAGACACTTCCAATTTTATGCGGGAGAAAACCCGAACAACCAAAGACCTACATACAAACACCCGCGAAAACCTCAGAAAACATATATATATATATATATATATATATACAAATTTCTTTTTCTGACAAAGAATTAAAGAATTAAATTGGGAAATTTATTAATTCTTTGTCAGTAAAGAAATTTGGATTTGTAATGTTTCGCAGTTGCGACTTGAGCCTGCTTAATGCCCCTAGTTGGGGGCTGCAAGGCAAAAGAGATTGTAAAAAGTAAAACTGCAGTATAGCAGTTAAAAAAATGTCAAGGTTTAATCAATTACACATCTGTCTGACAAAACGTCCTGCATATATATATATATATATATATAACAAAATAAAAAAATATTTTTTTAAAAAAGAAAGCAAGCATATAAGAGTTTCATTTGGTGGAGAACATAACATGTGAGAGAAAGGCTGAATTTTGGATTGGGACCATTGTGTAGTCACCCCTGTCTTCTTTGTCCTTTTTATTATTTTCTTCTCCTTGGTTTTTGTCTATACTCTGTTCTGCTTTTCCTTAGAACTCTTTGCAGAGATCCTTCTCACCTGCCATTTCTGTATTTTAATGTTTTATTTCCTTTTCTCTCTTTCTGCCTCTGCCATATTCAGCCAGCTGAGCTACACTGATTTATTTTTTGTCCTCATTTTTAGTTAGAATACTGTTTCAAGGAGGAACTCACCAAATATCTTTCAGAACAAAATGACACTTTTTATTCCTTTCCCCTTTGATAATAGAGCGAGCACCGCCTGTCCAAATTGCAATGCATGTGAAAGGTGGTCAGCAGAGGCATCATCACATCAATCTACTGTCGCAAAAAGCCCAGGCTTAAGGAATGTGCAACAATACTTCCAGAGGAAACATCAAGAGTCAAGATCTGGATTTCAGGCTTCAGGGAATGCTTTATTTGACCAACTGATCTGCTGCAGAGGATCATACTATATTTATCAGACTTCTCATGAGCCTGTGTGCACTGAGAACATAACCCAACATGCCTAATATTCTCCAGTGGCTGAACATTGCTAAGGAAGGCAGGCAGTAGTGGACAATTTGCCTTCAGGGAACCTGGAAGACAATTATGAACCATCTTTCTATGTGTCCATCATTATTTTGCTAGGATCTAAGAAAAGGGAACTGCTCCCAAAAGTGATATGAAAAAAAAGCAATGTTCTCTGAAGATACGGATTCCAGAGAAAGGTACACCTATTCATCTTTAATAAACTGAAAGATTACAAATTGAAAAACTAAAAGCAATGCATAGATAGATAGATAGATAGATAGATAGATAGATAGATAGATAGGTATATATAGATATATAGACTCATATATTGATATATAAATTAAACATGGGGGTTGATGCCCACTCTGTGAAGTATTCATATGGGAGAAAGTTACATTTAGGGCAACAACGAATGAATGCTAGAATTTTAAGTTACTGCAGGTATAGCCAGTGGGATATACTGGGAATCCTCCACTCTCTTTCTGCTGTTTGGCTCATTCTTAACTGCTTCCTGTCTAGTTGGTTGTTTTTCATGAAGAAGTACATGACAGGATTGAATCCAATTGAAGCTGAGCACAGCTTCAGCAAAAGAAATGGAAAACTGAAGACCGTGGCAGAATGAAGAACCAGATAGACCAGCCCTTTGTAATTCCTCTTTGGACAAATAGAGGACTTGAGCTTGCCCACAAGTGGTCCAGGCAATTGTTTCTCACAGGGAGCCCTCAAGACAGCAGTTTCTAGAAGGTTTAATTCCTCTGGGAGACAAGGGAATAGCTATCTTGCTGAAATAATAGTTGGCACCCAGAAGACACTGGGCTTGCATATTTCCTTTTCTAATCACCTTTGGAAATTGCTTAACTGCTTTTCAGCTGTTAGAAATATTTGGATCAACAAGTTTTACTGCACTAGGTGAGTTTCCTTCAATCCTTAGCGAAAGAAATTTTAAGTACAAGTTTAAGGACTTTTTTTTCTGGAATAAACAGAAAAGGGATGATTAGATTTTTGACTTAAGAAAGTTCAAATGGACTAAGAGTCCATAGAATTTGAAATTAGATTTTGGAATTAATTATAACAATTCTTCCAGTGGGAAAATGAATTTCTATTTAATTCTTTAAAAAAATAGGATGGAATTTTGAAGGTTGAACACCAGAGGGAACCAGAAGGAGCTAAATATTACCATTAAATGAGAACATTTGACTTACCAATACATAAAGAAACAAAATATTTTAACATTTGACATTTTGAAAGATATTTTGAATAATGAATGCAGAAGTTAATTTTAAGAGTGTCTGCCTCTATAAATAGACTGGGTTTAAAAATTGTTATAGAAGAGGGACACATTTTACTGGGCAAGAATGAGACTGATATGAAAGTAAATTTGAAAATGACAAGCTACAAGAATGTCATGGAAAAAGATGATATATTGGACATACAAAAGAAGCCAGCTGATGTCTTAATAATTAAAAGGGATATATAAATAACAAACCAAGAGAATGACTGTGATAATCTTCCTATATTGGATTTACAAAAGAGGCTTGTTAAAGCTTTGAAGATTTTTGTGAGAAGGGAGAAATAAAAAAAATGAAAAGAAAATAAGTTTTAGGACATTGTTTGAAGGGATGAAAGATGAAGATTGTTAAAAGTAAAAGAATCTAAAGTTGATTTATTTGATTAAGGTTAAAATATTTATGTTGTTATCACTGTAAAAAAATCCTTAATGGACTTTTGCTGATCAGGAGGTTTTTATGGATGTGTTTAAGAATCAGACATGGGATATGGGAAGATGAAGATTTGTTATAATTTAAGAGAAAATAAGTTACTAAAATTGTTTCTATTTGTGATGGAGGAAGCCATTTTTATATAGTTAATTTCTTTTCCTGTAAAGAAAAAAATTCTTTTTCTGTATGCGCTTCTTTTTCATTTCTATTTTTTTTTCTGCATTTTTAATTATTTTTCTTTTTTTAGTTTATATTAGTTTTTATCTTTTAATTGTATTTTTTAAATAAAAATATTATTTAAAAAGAAAGAAAAGCGAATAATGACACTACAATTGCAGTGATACTAACAAAATTCAGCAACAAATGGGAATCAGAGCCAAGTCAATCCTTTAAGGGTTGTTATATTTTGAGAGAAGATGATAAGTTACTAAAATTGTTTATACATGTTGTGAAGAAGAGGGAAATCATTTCTTTACACATTTCTTTTCTTTTTTCTTTATTATATTCCCATTTATACTTTCTTTTCTATTTTTTTCTGCACCTTCTATGTTTCCTTTTTAATTTTTTTAGTTTGCATTGATTGTTTTTATTATAGTTGTAACTTTTTAATAAAATTGCTATTAAAAAAAGTTGAGCCCTTGGAAAAGACAGAGTAAATGGAGGTCATTTAAAACTCATAGTGTGTGTACAATGTGATCTTACCTACAGTGCAAAGGAAGGTCATGGCAATAGCATACCAAAAATCCCATCACCACTGCCATCACCCTCTCTCTCTCTCCTTGCTATTGTGGCTACTGCTTTGCAACTTGATGGATGGAATAATGATTTAGCTATGGATAAGAGTCAGTGAGGCTTAAGTGTCAGAATGCCCATGAGACAGGGATTATCTTATTGATGGTAACCCACACAATATGAAACAAACAGAACAGTACATGGACCAATGTTTTCGAGATGCCTCCAGTGGGCATGATCTCAATTGAGCATGGGGTTTCATTTTAATTGTTACAATGCACTTGCTATTCCAACCTTTTCTGCAAAGTCTTCAAGATGTGATAGTCAAACGGGTTCTATTACAGGAACTCTCAGAATGTTTATCTAGCTTTTAAATCAACGTATATTATGATCTTATCTCAGACCTCTTCTGCTTTTAATTTCTTGGACTCCCATGCTCTCACTCACTTTGTGTGAGAATTCTGGAAATTGTCATCTGGCACATCTGAAAAACCCTATATTGGGAAAGCTGTACTATCTCAATATTTAAGTAGAATACATGTGTGACTCATTGAGATGCTCTCTTTCATAAGTCCTATTTAAAAAAGTGAATTCTCATATTCAACCTCTCCTTTCTTATTTCTACTTCCTTCAGACGTTTTCATGGTACTTTCTGCAATAGCCAGCAGAGGGGGAAACAACAAAGGAGAAATCACAGCCTTGGGCTAAGTACTAGCACAAATTTACATGTATTAATATTTATTCCTTTGAGATATCTTTGCATAGAGTGGGTGAGGGGTGCAATCCTGATGATTCGCTTGATTGTTCCTCCAGCTTTTAATATCATCAGCCACAGTATCTTTCTGGACCAACTTTCTGTGTTGGGACACTGACTCACAGCAATTCTGTTTCAACTGGACTGGCCCTTGTGAGAATACCAGGTTGGGAGATTATTGCTTTGCATCTGCATGAAACCATTGAGAGAAAACATCTGAGGATGTGGGTTGAGCTTTTATTAATATACAAATGACACTTAGCTTTACTTTCCTTTTCTCCTAAACTGAGGCAAAGACTGAACACCTAGAGTGGATAAGAAGGGCCTAAGAAAGGATGTAAATTTATTCCTCATCCTAATATAGGAAATGTTGCTCTCCTTCCTGCTGGAAGTTGATAGAACAATCTACAGTGCAGTACCATGAGATTACAACTGCAACAATTTTGGCCAAATTGGAAAGGCTGCCCCTGAACATGATCCTGTATGTGATCCCTGGGAGCCTATCTTGACTATGCCACCAAGTTTTGGGGATATGAGTGTTTGAAAAATTAAGATTCTATTTCCTATTATTTTGAGGCAGTGAATTCACAAAAATGGTTGAATAAGCTCCAGAACAGGCTAAAAAAAATCATAGTAAAGATTTTTTGTTGTTTTGTTTTAAATCAAGTTCCATTTAGCAGCCAAAGAAAACATGAAAAAGCCCAACTTCATCCATGAGTCCTTGGCACTTTGCACAACTGGTGCATGCGTTGGGCTTCCAAACACCTGCATCAAAAGTTGTTTACTTCTGCTGTACAAAAAAAAAAAACATAGAACATGTGGGTTTAGGCAACAGATCAAGGAATTTCTACTAGGCTATAGACGGGAGAAATGATCCACCTTTGTTTCTTAGAAATATAATTAGCAGCCTAGTTGCTTGATAGTGAGATGGATGGCATATAAATTTAATTAATTTGATAAATAAATCAAATTAGATATTACTTAGGTTGAGTGGAAAAACCTTAGACATTAAATGTATGTATATATCAGTGATGGCGAACCTTTTAGAGACCAAGTGCCCAAACTGCAACGCAAAACCCACTTATGTATCGTAGGATGCCAGGTGGGTGTGGCCCATTGGGTGGGCATGGCTGCAGTGGTAACGGCAGACTGGGTGAGACTAAAAAGTTCAATCAATCAATTCCAACTTTGTGAGAGATTTTTTTTCCCTTGAGAAGTTGAAATTGATTGATTGATTGAACCTTTTTTTTTTTTGCACACAGCGGCAGAGGCCTAAAGTGAAAAGGTTTTATAAAACCCAGCTGAAGGCCTAGGACTGGGGCAATGGCACGCGTGCCCACAGAGAGGATTCTGCGTGCCACCTGTGGCACTTGCCATAGGTTCACCACCACGGGTATATATTTTACATCATATTTAATTTATCCCAGAAAAATTATGCATTGACTTGCAGCTGTGAAGCAAAGAGATCAAAAGTGTTGCCTCAGGAAATCACAGGCCTGGGTTCATATCTCATACAACTACTTCTAATCTCGTATGAAGTTTCCCTCTGTAGAAAAGAACATTTAGTGATAGAATAGGCGTTTTCCATATATAAGTTCCTTTGTTAATTTCAAAGCATTTTCTGTGCTGGATCTCTGTTGTTTTATAGACACACTTTGTGCTTTGTTTTTTTAAATGAAAAATCTGCTGGGGGGAGGGTTCACATATTTGAGAATGCAGCCCAATATTAACTGTACTTAGAATAAAATAAGTACAACTTATAATTTAGAAGGATTTGAAAAATCATTGTTTTAATGTTTGCGATTATAACAAAACTTAAAAGTATCTGCCATAAATATCTATGAGATTCTCAATCATCCAGGTCATGGTTGTCCCAAAGGTGCTTTTCAAAAAGCAACTGGACTTTCTTATTTTTTTCCTTGAAAATGTTTTGCTTCATTTTAGAACTGAAAAAGCTTCTTGGATGAGAAGCAAAACAGTTTCAAGGAAAAAATTAAGAAAGTTCAGTTGCCTTTTGAAAAGCATTTTTGGGACTACGTGCCATAAGCTACCTAGAGAACTACAGTTGCAGATATGAGAAATGGAAACAAAGTAGCAACGTGTGCTAATTATGGAAGAATTGTTATAATGCTTTGTATAGGTAACTCATTTCTGAGGAATATTCATTGCATTCAGTTTCTAGGTTTGAATTATGCTGTCTCTGTGCATTATTTCTGATTGTACAGCTGTATATGTGCATAATGAAAAAAAAACCCTAAAAATAACAACAGCAGCAAACACATCGATTTCTTGCCTTCAAATATAGTATCTCTCCATTCTTCCTGAGGACAAAGGAAAAGATAGACAAAATACTGAAAAGCATCTACAACTTTAAACTATTCTCATTGGTAAGTAATTAATATCATGACACTGGAACATGCATCACACATAGCATAAGGAAATGGCAATAATTAAAATAAATAATGAAGAAATTGGGGAAAATGAAACAACTAGGGAAAATAGCATCAGAAGAACTGGTTGGGGAATATACCATGTGCTATACAAGTGAGCTAGATGTTATTGATTGGAAAGAATACTGGTATAGATTGGTCCCTTGGCTTTTCTTATTAAAAGAATATCTGACAGCTGGGCTGGGAGAAGATAATGCTAGTTAAACTAAAATGCACTGAACGGGAGGAACTTTCCACAGACATAACTCTCAGGTTTGCACAATTAAACTTCTTCATACTTTTACTCATGACTCTGCTATCTGCTGTCCTTTTTTTAAAAAAAAAAAATGCTGTGTTTCATGGAGGGGGAGAATAGAAGACAAGAGAAACATAGCACTAACGGCTGTTGGTCTCAGGTGAGAAGATAATCGTACAAGAAGAAAATAATAGACAATAAGACTCCAAAACAACAGAAGAAAAGGAATAGCATGTACAACATTATTTAACTTGTTTGTTATAAGTCAGTCTGGTCCATATGAGCATAGTAGTTCTTTGGGCATGTTCCTAAGGAAATTAGGTATATCCAGTAGCATGTTTCCAATGCAAACACAAAAAGCAGAATTTCACATATAGCCATGACCATGAAAGGTTCATGTGGCCCAGACAGGAGTGGGGCAAGGTGACTAGAACTCAACATTATCAATTTTAGATGAATTTCCTAATGATTTTTCAATTTTTCAGGATACACTCAAAAGCCACAACTACTAAACTAGTTGTAGAGGACAGAGTTTGAGCCAATATCAGCACCCTTGATGCTGTAAGATTGACAAAGATGTAGCTGAGGTGGGAACTAAGTTTTTTTATACCTGAAGGTACGAAAGACAGTGAGAATATTGATGTTCTTAGAAATTGCCAGTATCAGAACCTAAGTCTGTTCCTGTTATTTCCAATTCACCTGGGTGGACTAAGCTTCTTTAGGGGCAAGGAAATGGTTGACATTGCTAATCTTAAAGAGCATCAGAATGAAGAAAAATTAATGGAGATAAACTTGATTTTGTGGATAGTCAGGATTACAATGGAGGGACATGGGCAATGGAAGTAGAGGACTGAAAGAACAATGAGATGTATATGTAAGACTGAATAGATGGGATAGACTCAAGAAAAAGACCAGAAAAACATTGCACGGAGAGGAATTGCTAGCAGTTATACGTGAGTCAACTGAATGATATAGCATTCAAGATAAAAAAAAAAACAGGACACAGAATGTGGGTGTTGGCATAAGATCATAAGTATTCAGACAACTTAAGGCATCAAACTGAGTAATGAAACATAGACTGATTATATACAGTTTTTTTTTAAATACTTTAAGGATTCTCAGGAGACAATTTGGTGTCATGGTTAAGACATCAGGCTAGAAATTGGGAGACTGAGAAATTCACAGTTCTAGTTCTGCCTTAGGCACAAAGCACTTCCTGTCAGTTCTAGGATGGAGGCACTGGCAAACATCTTTCGAAATTTTGTCAAGAAATTTACAGGAAGTAGTCCAGGCAGTTTCCAGGAGTGAAAAACTGACTTGAGGGCATACAAAAGTGGGATGGGATCCTAGAAGAGGTAGTCTAGTATAGCTACAAACGCGTAGTCCCTCATTGTAAAGATGCTAAGAAAAAGACTCAGGCATTTCTTGAGCAGAGATTTGAAGCTGCTGCAGAACTGTTTGTCATAGCTTGAGACAGCTTGAGAGTCTCTGTGTGTTTATTGGTTTTTATATACTTTTTACATACATAGGCTTTTACATTAAATGCTGACATTTTACATTCATAAGTTTAACCTTTAGATGCTGACATAAAGTTTCTTCATTGGAAGATTCCTTCGTATAAGCAACTATTTTCTAGTAACATATTACCTGTTCAGAGACCAGGTAAAAACAAATACAGGGAGATGAAAAGCAAAAGGAACTAACAAAGACAGGAAAAGAGGGAACTTAAGCATATTATTTATTTAGATAGGTGAGATATTGTCAAAAGGGGATGACCTTCTGGCTGCTTTATTGGGACAAAGGGTATCAAAAGGTTATGAGGTTTGGGGGGGGGGAAACATGGCAGTTTGCTGCATGTGCTTTTTCCCCCCAGACCTCATGTACTAATTGGTGCTTTTTTCTTCTTCAGTTGTCAGCAGCTAATGGCCAGACACAGGAATGTAGCCGGTCTTTCCCTTGCCAGTTTGGAGAGCTTTCATTGTATTGAATGGAAAGACTGCCATCTCTCTGTGATCAACAAGGCACCCCTCCTCTTCATCGCCTCTTCGGGGCAATTTTAGGCCCTTTTTAGGCCCCCAGCAGGGCAAAATCGAGCACGGAAGGCAGAGCCCTGCCTTTCTGCATCCTCTTTCACTGCAATGCAAACTGGAAATCCTCAAAAATTATAAACTTTTCTTACAGACCACTGTCAAACCTGGAAAAAATACAGCACAAGAACATAACATTTTCACCTCAAAGCCTGTATAAACATTGTGGAGTTCATGATTGTTGCCACTACAAATTTTCCTACATTAGCTCCTTCATCTCTTTGGGCCAGTGGGTTGTCCTCTGCTTTACAACTTTACTATTTAAGATCTCGAGTTGCATAGTAACTTTTTTCAACGGTATCCCCAATGTTATGGAATTAGCTCTGCAGGAAAGCCCCTAAACTATTTTATTGTCTACTTTTATTGTCTAATTCTTCTAACATTTTAGAATTAAATTAAATTACTGTTGTTTTCTTCTTTTCTCTTATAAAATGTTGTGTTTATTCTATACTATTACCATAGAATTAATTAAACAAATGTCATATTTATTGTTTTATTACAATTGATTTTTCTCCTGCATGTGCCACAAGCATGTGATAGCATTTAGAATCTTTCAAATTAACAAGTGTGAAACAATAGTTGGCTTATTGTTAATATGTGAATAAGTTGTAGCAAAAACCTGTTTATACTGAGGCTGTTAATATAGTATATTTCTTGCTTCTATTTGCTTTTTTAAAATTTTTATATCTTAGTATGTTTAGTATGTTTTCAAAAGATTAAGTTTGATTTCATAGCACTATTTCACTTTGCAGGGTGAAGAGCATCTTAAATCTTTAGAGATTTACAGAATCCAATTAATTATTTAATGCTCTAAGGGATTTTCCAGAAGCAACTGCCAGCGATCCTGTGGATGTCTTTGTCGATCTATGGAATAGGAAAACAGAACAGGCTACAAATACAATTGCCTGTAAGTACATTTTCTGGCATGAGAACAGATCGGCCCAAGGCACTCACAAAAAAATAAAACATTATAATATTCTTCCCTTTCTATTCATCTCTGGGTAGGCTTCTAGGAACAGCCTGGAATGAGAATGGTTAATACTCCCAAAAAATCTCTTTGAGTTCCAATTAATATAATTTCAAATGAGGAATCTATGTATGGTTAGAGTAGGAAGGTCATGTTTATCTTTCTTAACTGCTTTCTATGAAAAAGAGAGGAGGTTTGTCTCTTTTGTGAAGGACCAGAAGTCTGCATCCATTGATGGTTTGGAAATAGCTGCTAGACTTCTTACCAATCTGATAAACAATTTCACAGTGTCCAGCATCTAATTATCAAATAATTAATACAAGAAAGGCTTATTTTTAGTAGTCACAATGTATGAATTCATCCATTCAGATGTACTTAATTATTACCTGCTATGGCTGTGGTTATAACAAATAAAATAAAATTTGCAGTATACTAATATAAATCTCAAAATTGTTAATACATGTATTGTTTTTAAAAATATCTAATTCATAATTTAATGCCAGTCTTCCCAGGCAAGCCAAATATGACCAGATGAATGCATTCTACTCTGTTGTAAAGTTCCATTAACAGAATCTTCTAAGTCTGAAAGTACAAATTTCCCACATCACTTTTAACAGCCTGACCAATTACGTCAGTTCCTTCCTAAATTTCTTCCTTTGACACTTCCACCATTGTGGGCTCCTCCTTCTCTTTTCGGATCATTCCTTAGGCAACATCACTTTCCCTCATCCCTCCAGGTCATTCCCACGTATCATTTCAGGTAGTAATATGGCCGAAGTTGGAACTGGAATTTCTATTGTTCAGTCAATGCAATCATAAGGTGAGTCATCCCATAACTGGACCTGATTTTACAATACTTTTTACATGGTCATTAAATGGTTAAATGAATCACATATCACTAAGTGAATCAACAGACTTTGCTTGTTAGAAGCCAGATGGGAAGGTCACAAATTGTGATCCCATGGCCACGAGACACTGCACTTGATGTAAATGTCAGGAATTGCCAAGTGCCAGAATTGCAGTCATGTGACTGTTCAAGTGCTGTAAATTGAAAATTTGAAGACAGGTTGGAACTGTCATAACTTTGAACCATCATTAAACAAACAGTTGTAAGTTGAGGACTATCTATACATCTAGTGTAGGAGTCTCTTTTAACAGATATCTATATTGACTGGTACACTTTAGTGCAGTTCTGAGCAATTTTTCTATTTACTGTATAATTATTACAAAAATATATAATTATGTGAATTATTATGCAGTATTATATATAATATAATTATAAAATATTACTATATTCTGGTTCTATACACCACCCAGAGTTCATTGGAATTGGGTAGCTATATCACTTTTGAATAAATAAATAAATAAATAATGCAATAATATAATATAATATAATATAATATAATATAATATAACAATATAATATAACATAACATAACATAATAGCTAACAATAAAAATATTTTTGTTCATAATTTTGCAAATTTGCTTTCTTCAATGCTGGAAGAGGTTGATTTGATATTTTTAGCTTTTTTGTACTGGAAGAGGGATAAACTCTTGGTTATCCATCCATCCATCCAATCATCTATTATTTTTAAATATTAATGTACTATGTTTTTTAACATTCTCTTTTCCTTCTGAAAGAACCTGAAATTGATATGGAAATATGGGGAATGGCTTTGGAAAAAATGCACTATAAAGTACTTATTTTCTAATATGCTTTTCTTTCACTATTGAAGTGTTTTTTAAGAATATTAATTTGGATTTACGGAAATAATTTCTCCTTCTAGATCTAGCATCTGCCCCATAAAGGTTTTTAGCCTGGGACAATTAAAAAAATAGGATGTAGGGAAATCTAAGATTTAAGATAAGTAAATAAGGGCTACCCCCTGCCGCCACTGTTTCACCATAAAATATGCAGTCCTTGATCAACACTATTTCTACAGGATCAAAACTTTAAAAATCCAGGATTGTTCTATGCACTAAATTTCACAGTTCCTCCCCTATATAGTTTGCAGTGCAGAGGTGCTCATTTTATAAACCGGGAATTTACATGCATTGATCTTAACAATGTTAAGTCTCACTTGTTATTGTCTTGTCCAATCACTTAGTTTCGAACAACCTTTCTACCTTGTACTAATATTTGCACTGTTATTTATTTATAAGATTTCTTTCCATTTCAAGTTGTACAAAATGTTGCTGTTAATGTAGTAATATTTCAAACAGTTAGGTTACATTAAGCAGTTTTTTTTTTAAATCTAAGGCTTCAGTGTTAAGACTAAAACTTATTTCTGAGTAGGTTTATATGATGTCAAATTCTGCAGTTTGCTCAAGATTTCATCCGACAGAACTGTGATGCCAATTAATGAATGATATTTAAAAACCTCTTATTTTAACCTATTTTAGCCACATATCCTACATTAATCGAGAAAAAGAGAGGAAATCATAGACCCCTTTCCATTATAAAGAGCTTACACTAGCAATCCAGTTTTTTTCTATTGAAGACACAGCACTCTTTGTCTCCTTGCTTGATTGGGATCTCAGAGAAATGACACTACCATACTGCAAATGGAAGAAAGAACATTTATATTTCAGACTAAAAAATAGCTATTGAAAGGGCTAGCCAAACCATTTATGGATCTGCTTAAATCCATTTCTATGCAGGTCTATTTACCAATATTAATTTTCAAAATGAATATTCAAGCTGGCTCAATAATTGACCCCGGTTCTGTCCCAGTTCACAACTTGGGGGTCCTCCTGGATTCATATCTCTTGCTCGAAGATCAAGTTGCTCTGTTTTCTTTTTTTGGTCTATTTTATTGTTTTATTATTTATCTTATTCTATTATTTTACTTTTGCTTTGTTTAAACTTTCTGTTTCTAGGCCCTATGTTGAGATGGGCAGCAAATATATTTAATAATAATATTAATTCAACTTTCCTAGATATATTCATCTATGCATATTTTTGTAAGTCAGCAGTTATAATGGACTAATAATGCCATTTATTGCAATGCTGGTTTATCAGAGAGAACAACTGCATTAAAAATATTTGTAATGAATCTCTGCCTCAAAAAAAAGAAAGCCAACCTTGGGAAATTATGTCTATAAAAGAATGCTGGAAACAGTGACAGAAAGAGGCTGTTTTATCTTTACTAGTTTGCTAGAGATTTTTGCTGCTATATACATCCCTTCTGCCATCCTTTTTAAACTTCTCAAGAGCCTCTCCTTTGCAGGTGGGTAACCTGTCGCTTTCATCTGACAGCCAGGGGCAGCAGGAAGTTCTCTAGACCCGTTAAATCAATACCTTAGAAATAGAAATGTGACCCTTTTAGACTACATTTACTTGTTTTTTCAGAAGAACTCTTTGGTTGTAGGAATAGTAATTACTAAAGGAAGCCTTCTTTGTGGTTGCACTACATCTGGGCTTTGATACCTGCTCCCTAAGGGAGCTGTCCAGTGTTCTGATCTCTTGCAACTATGTGATTCTGCTTTCAATGCTGCCAGTATCCCTGCAAGGTTTCAGTTATTACTGTAATATCAGCCTTCATTTTCACCTTGCACAACCTGGTAAACTCTACAACACTACCCAAGGCATCAGATATTAGGCATAATCAAAACAGCAAAGTAGACAGAAGATAGTAACAAAATGGCCAATGGAACCCAAACTATCCTTACTCTGTTCATTTCAATGTATCATGTGTAGGAGAATTTCTCAGTGGAATAGCCATCTTGTTTAAATAATCAGAGTGAATGTCTATTTGGATTTCCTACTGGAACTGCCTTTACACATTTTAATGGCTGCTTGGGTCATTAGAGCAATCACCCAATACAGTGCTTGAAAAGACAAATTATGTACTAAATGAGAGATATTTTGGATTGCTGCCAAGATTTCTGACCATTAGCAATGCTGGCTGGAGGGAAAAGTAATTACCATCTATAACATTTGAAAGGTAGTAATTTGCCTACTTATATACTAAACAGATAGGACGAAAGTAGTAATGCCTCCCCAAAGAAAAACAAAAACTGAAACATAACATTATTGGAAAAATGTAACATTCCCAAAACAATTTGTTTTTGTTGAAAGAGGATTCTTAGATCATTTGTAATATTGTAGTAACAACTGCACATTTATTGTATCAAATAGCAAGAATAAAAAAATGGGAGTTTTTAATTACAACACAATGAGGTGAAGTTCACTCAAGCAATTAGAAAAGCCAAGGTAGAACTAGTTTTTTTAAACCTAAAAATCTGATTTCTAACAAAAATAATAACCATTCTTCTTGTAATAATATTATTTATAAGATGAGCAAACACCAAATATAATATCATATACTCCTACTTGCAAATAGACTCCTTTTAAATCAATGGAATTCATTTTTTTAGTAAATATGTGGTGGATTGCATTAGTAGGCACCATCATCATTAGGACAAAACCCCCAGAGGACTGACCCAATCCACATAACTGGATTACTTGTTTGAAAAACTGTACTATAGAATTTGTATTTTTATATGCAGATATAAACTTGTCAAGTTTAGTTATTAATCAAATTGGCTAAAATGGAAAAATGACTTCAGTACAAATGTGAATCAGTATCTCTGCCATTAACATACATAATAATACTTCACATTCTGGCTCTTTTGTTTTGAATTTCTTTTGTGAAAAATTAATTGAAATGATTCAAAAATTAAGTTACTATTATTCACCTGAGAATAAAAAGTGGGGAAACGTCTTAGTAAATTGATTACATTTCTCTTTTATTTTAAAAGGAATGTTTAACTCTATCACAAAAAATATTTTTGTCAAAACTGGCATAGAAAATACATTTTCATATTATCACACTTATTAGTTAAAAGTTAGTCCATCTTGCTGTAATGTGTATAACAATCTATGCATTACATGCTGCCTTATTTGTAAAGCTACAAAATGCATGTCTCCTCCAGTTACTGATTTAACTTTTACAGACTCAAATGAAATCTGAAATCTTTTACTAATGCACAATTATAAAATGAATAAAATTAGAAAATAAAATGTGATTGAGTTTGTAATATATATAGGATATAGTATTTTCTTCACAGAATTTCCATTACCATTAGTGAATCTGGTGTGTATTATAGTATATTTTTGTTGGACTGCATTTTGATTGCTGGATTTTGTTCTCCTTTTGATTGGATTTGAAGAACAATTTTTTTATACTATATTGTCAATATAGATTCCTTGTTTCGGTTCATTTTTTCTGTTTTAGTTACTATTTCTATCCTACCTTTCAGGATAACTAATCTCTTAAAGTGATTTATAAGCAATGTGAGGAATTTAAAATAAAACACAATTAAAATTATTTAAAACAAACCAAGAAAAGATCCCTGTAAAGCTGTTGTAATTTATGCCTGTGAGGAAATGGGGTGAAAGAATCCAGCTGAACAGATTTTCCCCTGCCTTTCAATTTATTTCTTTATGGATCCTTCCCATAGAGAAGATGTAATATATTTCTCAAGAGGCAAAATATTAATTTTTTATATGTCTGTAGTTGTAGGAACTCTATAATTTTCAGTCTTTTTCTTTATTATATTTCCAGGTACACATAAGCTTCTTAAAATAATCTGCATACTCAGACTTTGTAATTAGGTCAATTTAGAAAAACAAAAATATTTTATTTTCTCCCTTCACTGAATTATAGTATATGAATTATGAAAACTAATGTATGCCCTATAATTGAGAAAATGTAATTGATCAAATTAAAAAGGTGGTACTAAAATTTTATATGGCATGCCATCTGAGTAACTAACTCCCTACTTGCCATTGCTATTTATATTGCTGGCATACTATATTGCCAGCATTATTTATAATCTCTCAGAAGATATTAACAAAGATACTGTTTAGAAGTTTTAATTTTGTTACATATAGTTTTACAGTACAACTGTACTTGATTCTCCCTGGCACTCGTATAAAAACAATGTTAGATTGGAATATGCAGTACTTAGAAAGTCAATGGAGAGCTGAAGGAAAAATATTGTTAAGAAATTAAGGTTGTACAATAACTTGATCAAAACTAAGAATTACATGAACATGTACAGTATGCTTATTTTTCTACCAAAATTCATCAAATATTTCAAACTTCGTAGTGAATCAGAAACATCTGACTTTCATTTTTCAGAAACACAACATTTATACTATCTAAATTATTATACATTTGGATTTTCCCATATATGTATGAATTTCATTCTCATGAAGTTAATACGATTATTTTGATAGGGCATAAAACAAATTGGAAGATTTGGATTCTATGATCTGTAAAAAATACTGTATAACAAATATATTTATTTATACATGTATAAAGATATGTAGCTGGGGTGAGGATATCCAAATGTTTAAGAAAAATTTTTTGACCATTTTAGTATTTTTAAGGAGACTTTGAGGAAAAAATAGTATAAACCCTTAACAAATTGATAGTTTATTATCATTAAAAACATAGTTCTTCGATTTCTAAATGAAAATTAACTAAGTTTAGTTCTTATAATTGAAAGTTTTCAGGCACATATAATAAACTACCTTTAAAAACTACAATGAGGATGATAGTCAATTATTTTTAAAAAAAATACTCCATTTTTTTCTGCTTTTTCACTAGCAAAAATTAAAGTATGCTGTTAGGATGCAGAAATTGTAGTGCTGATTGTAGCAGTGAATATATTTTTGCTTTTTGAAAAAATAGATCAAACAGTATTATTTTATAATTTAAATTTCAGTGTAAATGATATATTTCATTACAAAGTAGTAAAACAAACTTAACTTCAAAGTAATAAATGAAATTTAGGTATAAAGCTATTCTAAATAAAATATTACAGCATAATGAAAGCATAACACTGCAGAAATAATAGAAAAATAATAAACTGCTTCACAGTTTTCACCACTTACCATCTTACAATATCAGAAGTGAATAAAAGGATTCTTTCTCATAATCCTTTAAAATACAGCAGTAACATTTTTTCATGGTATTTCATATCCATGCATCAGTATGTGGGCATCTATCTAGAAGCACCTTTGCTTCAATTTTAGTGAAACACGGTAGAAAACAAAATTATGTAATCTGCTTTTATGAGCTTTGATGATGTACTAAACTATTCTAACCATGTTATATGAAAACTTTTATTTAACTAGAATGATGATTTAATGTAGTTAGATTTTAACCTAATTTATAACTATCAAGAATTAGGAAATATTTATTTCAAATGTTACATTTCCTAATCAGCTTTTTTTTTAAAGGCACCAATAACATTATGGTAGATGCTATTCTATGGTCCAAATCATATAATTATCACAATTTCAAAGTCCATATAATGATCATTTTCTAATGATTGTAAGTCTGCAGAACCACTACACACAGAACTACAATATATTCACTCAAAAACCGTAGTGGAACTTACTCCCAAATTTAAATAGTAATAGGATTGGAGTCTTAAAGTATTGCACTTCATGCTAAAAGCTGAATCTAAAAACCCCAATATTTATACAAACTCACTGTTGCATATTAGGAGGCTGTATGAATGAAGCCTTTAGAAAGGGAGTAACCCCACTGAGTCTTATAAAATTAATTTCTGATAGGAGTATATACATCACATTTCTTTCAGAATTAACTTTTTCAATACTGAAAATTGTTCATACATACAAATCTTTTTTTCTCTAGAAAGTCCTTTCCTCAAATTCTCAACAATTTTTCTGAATTATGGACATGTTTGAATTCTGAGGCTTTTTCTGAGAACTAAACATAAAATATATTTGCATCATACATATCACAATAATTTAATAAAATTGTCATATTTTTAAAAAGTATATACCATACTATGAAAAAGTTGTTTATTTCAGTCAAAGAATAAAATTAGGCAATTGTGTATTATATGTTTGCATCTACTAGAATTCATAATAAAAATATTAGAAGACCACAAACAAGAAAAAGAAAATAGAAAAAGCAATTAAAATTGTAGAATTAAGCCATATGTGAAACACTTACTTACATCTTTTGTGTACAAACTTTCCCTGGGTGAATATTAGCTGAATTGTTACTGTTTTCTTTTAATTTTCCCATTCTTTTTACAACTGTAATATTTTACATTTTTAATTTATTCTTTTTACACATATAGTATTTGATTTTTATAAACTGTTCTGAAATGCTTTTGTATAGAAATTATAGACATATCTGAGAAAAAGAAACAACTACTGAATAATTACACTGTTAATTGATCATCACTGTTTTAATACTATATTTGTCTTTAGCTTGAAATATTTTAGAATTCTTGTGGTTTTTAAAGTTTTCATTTCATATATCTTATAAACATTCTTAGATTTTCAATATGAATATATTCATATTGTATTTAATTGATAAATGTTTATAACTTTTTATAAATAAAATATTATTCTTGTTATTGTAGTAAAAATGCAATTATAGTTTCTTGGATTAATAAAACCTCTATATTCATACATTGTTAGCATTTATATTCTCTTCCAGTTTAGATTTCTATTCTGTCTTCTTCAGATTGGAAGCAGTTTCTAATGTTCCTGATATGGATTGTCCCGTATTTTTATATGGGAATCTGGGAATGATAAGCAAAATTGGGACATTTTGTAAGCAAAGCACTTATTACTCTTTAAATGTACTGACTTTCTATAATAAGCAATTTACCGAGCTGCATTCTGTTATCTAAACTGACAAATCTAGACATTACTTTTTAATGAAAAGAATATTTAAGGATTTTTTAAAAAAATGAATGTGTATTTAAATCCCTTTTATCTGCCTGTATCTTTTTAGAGTTATGATCTAAAAATACAGATAACTTTTGCTAATATAGGAAAGGAAATTAAAAGGTAAGACCATATGTGAATATAGACAATTTTTCCACAAATTTACAGAGTTCATCCCAACTTTTTCCTTTAGATTGATTATGACATCATGATCAAAATAGTTTAATAAATTAAGGTTTGGCAATGCATGCTGTTACTGTGGAATGTATTATCTCCTAGTTGTTGCTACCAAGACATAAAAACACTATGAAATTTGGCAATTTTCATAATTCAATGAAATTGTATTATTCCCCTGAAATCTTGCAAAATATTGGGTGAAAAAACTCAAATCCTAAGAGAACTGATTATTCAAAATTTAAAGTAGTTTTAAGGTTTCTTTTTTTTTTATCCTATATCACCTCTTGGAGCATTAGTGAAAGAAATATTGCATTACAGATATGAGAAAAACAAATTGTCCTTATCCCAATACTCCTAGCTTTTCTAAATACATCTATACACAAAAAAGATACTGATTTTATTATTATATGGGAAGACTAATTTAAGAGAGGTAGCTAGAGGTTGAAACAACATAAAGACTTGTGGCACATTAAAGATTAATATATATAATTACCACCAACGTAGAAGTATTCACAAAAGCATTTTTCAATCCTTTTTTTATTGTGGATGTACTTAAGAGAAAGAGCCTCTGAACTCAATGAAACCTCTATTAAAATTTGCATAATATCATACAATTTTTACTAGATTGTGAAATACTTTTGGATTAAAACAGCATGTTCATATAAAGCATTTATGCAAATTAAAATCAAACTTTGTATCAATGTATTAGAAACCACAGTGAGTCACATAGGTTTATGTAAAAATAGAGGTTTAGGGAATATAACTCCAGGTTTGGAAAGAAAAAAATATATTGGATTTGTAAATATACGATGCTGTATTAATGCATATGAGATAAGGTTGTACCTTCCTTTTTTTAGCAATACTCTTGTGATATGCCGTGTGATACATCCAATGTGTCTGTTAACCACATACTATTGCTGGAAAGGTCTCTCCTATTGAAATCTTGTCATATACCTATTAGTTACAAAAACCATGTAGAAAAACCTCACATGGTGTTGGACCAGCAAACAAAGAAAATTATTATTGGCAAATGAACAAAATGGGAAAAAATAAAACAATAATATAATATTTATTTTTGTGCAAACTAATGGTAAAAAGTTTATTGTAAACTCTAATAAATACAGGTAATCCTCAATTTATAACTATTTATTTAATGTCCATTCATAATTATGACAGTGTTGAAAAAAGTGACTTATGATTGATCCTTGCACTTACGGTCGTTGCAGTGTCTCCATCAAAATTCAGGCACTTGACAACTGGTGTATATTTACAACAGTTGCAGCATCTTATGGGATCACATGATCACTATTTGTCACCTTCCCAAAGGGCTTCTCACAAGCAAAGTCAATAAGGAAAGCTGGATTCAGTTAACAACCATGTCACTTGCTTAATGATTGTGTGATTCACTTAACAACTGTGGCAAAACAGTCATAAAATCAAGCACAACTCACTAACTGCGTTGCTTAGTGATGGAGGTTCCCCTCCCAATAGTGAAAGGGGTAGCATATAAATTAATTATCATCACTAATTTGGTTTAAGAGTTTTCCATATAATAAAAAGAATTCTCCTATATGATTGCAGATCTTTTCTCTATTTTGTATTGCTGCCTATAACATGATTTACTCAAAGATCCCAGTTTCCTTCTAATTGAATTTGCTTTTGTAGAATCATACATTGCTTAGCAAAAAGCTATATAAGCTGATAAAGTGCATTTTTATTCATTTTTGCGTTAGCATCACTAGGGGGCAGATACAACTGTAACTAATGCCATGGCATGTCAAGGATGTGGGAGTTATAACTTCCTGTTTTCTGCACCTTTTTCTTTTCTAGCAAATTATTTCCTGCCTACATTCTTATCAAAGTGAAGCTCAGATAACTTTCATAACCTATCTACTAGGCCAGATAATCCTGCTATATTGGAAGAATGTAGTAGTATTCAGCACAGTTTGCAGCTTCTACAACTTGAAGGAAGGTCAGAAACCATGCTTTTGGGCTTTATATGAGCAGTGTGATAATTAATCCATGTTTGTTATGAAAAGTTTTGATTAGATCTTAGCTATAGCACATGTGCCTGTTTAAAATAAATTCACCATAATTAGAAGTGTTTAACACTAACATGAATTCACTGGAAAATAAGCCTGAACGCAATAGGACAGCATAGAAAACAGCATATAGGAGGATTACATTTTAAACTCTGCAATCCTATGCCTGTTTATTTGGGATACTTAAAACTTGAACCAACTTCTGAGACTATGTAGATGTATAGGACTGTGTTCTACTAACAAACTCAGTGCCTGACTATACCAGTTATAAAGCTTGTGCCAGTAAAGCTGCTGGGCAGCAGAATAATTTAAGTCATACAACTTGTACTTGCATGGTTTAAGTTTGATATAGTGTTGTGTCAACCCAGGTTTTTTTTTTTTTAATAAACTATGCTTAAGAAAATCAAAATTAGTATTTTCTGTTCACTATTCGTTTTGTTATCACATAAATGGTTGAAACATTTTAGTTATAAAATCGAAACTTGCTACAAATGTATACATTCACTAGAAGAATAAATTTGTTAATCATTTTGAGTGACTTAAATATTTTTAATAGCACACAATGTGGCAAGGACAGCTGCAACAAATTTTCTAAATTTTTAAAGATACAACTTTAACTTCTGAAATGTGATAGTTTGTCGTCTTTTTTTGCCCCATCTACAACTGCAGTATAGCAGGGTTTTTTTTTTTTTTAACAGTATAGTACCCAAACATGAGAAGGCCCAACTAAAACCAGCATTTTAGTCGCTGTGGTTGGGTTCAACATATAAGATTCTGACTCTTCCGTTGTTTCCCTCCTTTATCAGACTTGCAAGCTGGAACATAATAGGGTGGGCAGATGAAACCTTATGCAGACCTACATCCTACCCATTACTATTTAATACAGGGGTTTTAGGCTAATCTTCATGTGACAGCTTGATATTGTGAGGCTGCAGTGTGAAATTGACACTGTTGTTTTTTAAAGTATTAGGTAGCCCCGCGTTGATGTTAAAAAAAAGAACACAAAAAATCCACCCCAAATCCTAGAATGAAATGGAAAAACCACTTTTGTACCAAACCAAGAAAGCTGCTTTAGCCCTTCAAGTAACTCGTCCGGAAGTCATTCTGAACTGGAAGGCTTTAGTCATTTTGTAGTCAGGATCGATTATATAGTCATTTGAGAATCATGACCTTGCTATCATTTGGATAGACTGCACTGGCGGGATTGCCCTCTCGGTATAAAGTATTTCCTTTTTACGCTAAAAATAAAGAACTTCGAGAGCTCACAGCGGAGGAAGTATGAAGCAGTTTTTAAAAAAACGTTAGACCCGTTACATTTCAAAATCCTTCAGCCCGCGATTCCGCAACACCTTTTTGTCCAGTGACTGATAAGCCAACGGGCCTATCGATGGACAAACAATCTACACAGTCCAATCAGAAACAGAGTGAGAATTTGTCCCCTGCCCACTTCGTATCGTTGTAACTGACAGCGCTTCCCGCCAATTCTAACGGCCGCCAAGAGCAGGGCAGCCTCGCCCGTGTAGAGAAACACCGACCAATAGTTTTGTGATGGAGACCTGAGTGATGAGCCCCAACATCCAATTGCAGTGAGGTGGGCGGGGCCTGACTGTCCGGGTTTCCTCTCCGGCTCGGTTTTCCCCCTCCCCCCCGCGGGTTCTTCGCTGCGAAGAAAATGGCGGCGGCGCCGAGCGGAGATGAAGAGAGACTGTGAGTGACCCGAAAAAAGGGGGTGGGGAAGATCTGGGCCGGACCATGAAAACCCGTGCATGGGGGCCCTAGACGGGACCATTTGAAGCAATTCCGAGGGTGGAGAGGATGCGCGACCGTGATGCGGCCGTTGGTTTCTTTCCGCTCGTGGGTTCCCCTCCCCTTTTCTCCTGCGCGCCCAGGGCCCCTGAGTGCGTCACAGCAATCCCCTCTGCCCAGCAATGGGAGGGGCTGCTCCTCCTGCCTAAGAGGGGAGGAGGAGTGGGTGAGGAAGACATGGGCGTGCCCCCTGAAGAGAGGGGGGGGTGGGCTTAAGGTCAGAGGTGACTTGATGTTCCTTGATGCTCTCTCGCTGATGTCAGCTCCCCGGGTTTACTCTTATTAGTGCTGACCATCTTCTCCAGCCTCTAGGCCCCAAGCTATGTGTGGTCCATACACCTTTACCTTCATGCAGCTGATCCCACCAACTTCCTTGGGTGTCCTTTTCTCAGGATTTGGTCCTGGATATCGGAAACACTTGGTAATAGGCTTTTGGGGGAAGATTTTTCTCCTTCCAGGCAGCTCCATCATACTGAATGCACCCAAAAGACAGACATGCAAGAAACTGGACAAAATTAGTAGGGTATTCTCCATGGGCTGCACTGCAGGGAGGATTGGGTTCCATTGTGCTCCCCTGTGAGTGGAAACTGCTGTCTTTGCCCTCCTTTTTCTAGGTTATACAGCAGGAAAAATTGGGCCTCATTCGTACTATTCTGGCATTCAGTAGATATAAGGATAGAGGCAAATGAGCCACGGTGGCTGTTTGTGCATGGACAGCAACCTTTTGGCTGCTCATTTGATACAGTCACAATGGGACGGAAGTTAGCTATTGTAAATTTCAGAAGGTGAAGCAAAGAAGGAGAGATGAAAATGCATTTGTTTTGGGTCTTTGGGTGCAAGGAAAAATGTTGAGCATGCAGTCTAGATAGATAACTAAATAGGATTAGCAATCTTCACTTTTTGCAATTGTTACTTGTCCAATCCTGATAGATAAACAAAAGAATAGGGATAGTAGCTTCCATCTCGTTTTAAGGTTTACAGATAATCCTCTACTTACAATAACAATTGCTCCCAAAATTTCTATTGTTAAATGAGACATTTGTTAAGTTAATTTTGCCCCATTTTATGACCTTTCTTGCCACAAGTTGTTAAGTGAATCTGGCTTCTCCATTGACTTTGCTTGTCAGAAGGTCGCAAAAGGTGATCACATGACCCTAGGATATGGCAACCATCATAAATATGAGCCAGTTACCAAGAATCTGAATTTTGATCATGTGACCATGGAGATGCAATGATTGTAAGTGAAAAATGGTCATAAGTCACTTTTTCAATGCTGTTGTAACTTCAAAGGGTCACTAAACAAATGGTTGTAATCATGGATTTCCTATATTGAATTGTCAGAGACACAGACTTTCCATCCTAATAAAAAGCAGTAAGAAAGGGAAGATGGCAGTGCATCTTGGAGGAGCAGTATTCATGCATTCACTTCTTTTCCAGTCACTCCTTTATTTGGCAAGAATAATTAAATATGTGATGGTTAGAAATAACAATCGCTATTTTGATTAATATCTAGTGCTCACTTTGAAGAACCTATTTTTACTCTTCTATTTGATTATTTCAGTATGGAGGACTAAGTGAAGTGTGGTTGCTTAGAATCAATCAATGAACAAAATCTAGTACTGCTCTTAAGAGTCAACACCAACTTTTTTCCCCTTCCTTTTCCTGTCTGGAGAGTTACAACAGGATGATCTGATACTCAATTATATACCTTTGTTCTCATCTATTTGTATAAATTTTTCTGTGCTGCTCCATTGGTGCTCACATTCTACTTTTATTTGAACTTTGCTGTTACTAATCTTCTAATGCACTTCCTTAAATCTGGTATTTTCAAAACAACATTAGGGATCAGTAAGCTTATATTATATAGTGTTTATCATAATGAAATTTTGTGCATTGCTTAAACGCCAAGTGTGTTTTGTTTTAAAAGTTTTAATTAAAAATCCCCCAAATCATGCAATAACTTATTTTAGCCAATTCTGTTATTTATATAATTTGAAGGTGCCTGTGTGCCATCTAGTGAAGTTGTACATGTTATGCCCATGAGCCCTATTTTAATGATCTTTGGACTAAATTACCATAATCTCAGCGTAGGAAATACTAGCAAAATATAAAAATTGTAATTGGACTTATCTAAAGAGTTCTGTCTGGAAAAAGATGCCTTAAAATTGTGACATTTTCACCAGTTACTGTATTTTCCGGCGTATAAGACGACTTTCTAAACCATGAAAATCTTCTCAAAAGTCGGGGGTCGTCTTATATGCCCAGTCGTCTTAAACACCGGAAAATACTGTATTTTCCGGCATATAAGACGACTTTCTAACCATGAAAATCTTCTCAAAAGTCGGGGGTCGTCTTATACGCCCAGTCGTCTTATACGCCGGAAAATATGGTATTTAATTTTCTGCCACCAACTCTTTTGTGTGATCCTAGTACTATCTTATCAGTGACAGCTGTTTGCTATATTGTAATATTTCTGTCCTAAGTAACCTGTAACACTAAATGTCTGATCTTGTTTATTTCACAGGCTTCTGTGATTCTGATGCAGGCATAATTTACCCCTAGTTATTCCGCTACCCAAACCAGAATTTAATTTCAGAATCCTAGCCATCACCACATGGAAATCAAATGTCTTACCTATACCTTCCTTACCGCAAACATCACTTTTGAGCGCTTATTGTATTGTTTTACAATTTTTATTCCTTCAGCAAAAAGATATTTTTGACGTGCTAATATGGGTGAGTTTATGTGAGTTCCTGGAATAGTATCATAATGTTTGTCACCTTTAGTTGTGGTCGTAGGTGGCATTGAGGACTATTCATGGAGCATTCCCAAAATTGTAGTGCCTCTGCTATGTGTTGTGGTTATGTATCAAACATATGTTAGCTATCAATTTATGCTTCCTCTCTATTATTATTTGAGAAAGTTGCTAATTTTCAGCATGTGACAATGACAGTCTTAAAGAAGTTTACAAAAAATTATTAAAATCTAAATATAGTATAATAACATTAGAACTTGAGCTATAGAAACTATGCAGCTAGGAAAACAGCAATTTGATAACATTAAATAAAATCGTTAAAATGCCTCAGGAAACAGTATTTCAATTTGGCTCAAATAGAAAAGAATCATGGTGAAATAAAATATCACTTGTGATGACATTTTAAAGTTTGGATGTCATCACCCAGATAACTATTAGGTGTCTGATATTCATATATTCATTTATTTATTTAATTCATACATAAACTAGCCATCTCATAAATAACTCTTTAAATAACTTTTAAAATGGAGTACTGTAAATATAACACAATATATAATTTAGTTTGAAAAAAATGGCAATTTATAGATATTTTAGAGTGATATTAGTCTGTTTCAGCAAGAATAAATAGTGTAGGTTTTCGTCAATTAAAGTCTGCTATAATGTTGTTAAAAGTCATGCATTTTAAACTAAAACATTTAATCATGCTAAATTTTAATGTAATTTTATTTCCTTTATAAAAACATCTTGATCCATGGAAAAGTAGACTGTTGATTCAATCATGCAGTTGTTAATCATTTGTCTGAAATATGGCCAAGTTATTGCATGTTTATTATCTATGGCACATTTCTTGGAATGATCAGAAATCATGTTTTTGAATTTAGACTTTAAATTATTACAAAACAGAGAAGTAATTCTCCTCCCATTT